TGAGGTCTGTATTTTGCAAGTTTAAGAGTATAGTTTCTCTGTTGAGGTGCCTCCAGGGTGTCCGTCCATCCATCCAGGCTGGCTGGGTCTGGGCTTTCATTGGCGGTAACTTGCAAGACGTGCTGCAGCCTGGCCGTGTAGGGCTGACCTTGGACTTGGGAGAGCGGGTCCTCGGTTCCTCTGTCATGTGCTGGTGGTTCGTGTTGAGGAAAGGAGCATGGACTGCATCACATGTGCTAAAGAAAGGGCATGGCTGGAACTTGGCTTTGGGAAAGCTCCAGTGTCCCCTTGCTGTCCACACTGTCCCCATTCCACTTCAAGTGAAGGGGAATAGCTGCTGTTCTCACTCACCAGGACTGTCAGGGCAACGGTGCTTTTGCTTCTCATCTGAGCAGTCATGACCTGGAAATCCTTGAGGAATGATAAATAAGGAACCCACCTTGCCACTTCTATTGAGTCTTTTTTTTTTTTTTTTTCCCTTAAAAAAACCCCCACCAAACAACAAAAAAACCCAATTCCTTTAAATAGCATCATTTACACTTGGGAACTGCTTGAATCCACCCTGTCACATAAATTGCCATCCCTGAACTCGGCTGTCAGGAAGCGTCCTCACAAGTTGACATCCATGGGGGGTGTCAGTGGAAGGGGATCGGTTTCATGGAAAGCAGGAGGAATTCAAGCGTCAAGTGAAATATGCTTGTCCTCACATTACCTCAAGCAGTGAGGGCATCTCAGTCCCACCAGAGACGAGCCCCAGCATGACCGTCATTCCCAGACTGACCTTGTTCCCCTTCACTTCGGTAGCTGCAAGGCTGGGTCCAACATCTGGAGCAAGCCCTGTCCTCCTGCATCTCAGGCAATTAGAACCTGGCCCAGCGAGCAGCCCTGGAGCAGGAGTTTCAGGGACATTATAGTTTCCTCACAGGGATAAAGGCGACAGGCTTTCCTCTCTGCTCCGCCGCTTTCTCCAGCTTTGATGCTGCTGCCGTTGAAACGAGGTCGGCCCATCTGGTAGCGGAGGGGATGAGCTCTGCCAGACGGATCTGGCTTGCTGGGAAGGGTTCAAAAGGCAGCACCTACCCTTTGTTGTATTTCCTGCACGCTGACGAAGCCCGTGTTTTTTGGAGCTACTTTTTATCCTTGCTTGTATGTTGGTTTTGGCATGGATGCTTTTATTCCTCCCATTTGAAATAAGCAGGAGAACAAAGTGAATAAAGATTCCAGTCCCCATCCCCCCTCCCCTAAAAAAAGGGTCAGACAAGGGACTTGTAAGGATGCGTCGTGGTGAGAACAGTTACACTTGTTTGCTGCCAGGAGTTGAAAGATGGAGAACTGAAGCGTTCCAGTGTCGGTGGCGGGTTGCAGGGCGCAGTGTTACCCTGTGGCGGGGTGCGCGGGAGCCCCGCTGCAGCGCTGCACGGTGTGCTGGCAGCCCTGCCTGCACGTGTTTTCGGCTTTCCCCGTGGCCACACGGAGAGGGAATTTGCAGCAATCCAAACGCTGACAGAACTGTATTTGTTGACTTGCAGAAAAGCCGAACTCGTGCTCCTCTGGGCTGCGGTCACGTAAGCCGAAATGCGATGACTGCTGCCTGTGCTTGCTGGCCTCCCAGCCCTGATAAATCTGTGATGCAGATTCATTTATTTAGGCCCTGATTCAGCAAAGCACTTAAGTACACGCTTCAGGTTTTCTCCTTTCCAGTAAGATGGTCGGCATGCTCAAAGTTAGGCATGTGCTTAAGTGCTCTGCGGAATGCACAGCAAACGAGTGATGGGGGCACTGTGTGCTGCTGCTGTGCTCTGCCGGTTGGCCCCTGGTATTAAAAATTTATTCATTTGGCTCCCCCCAGTACAGGAGCCCTAGTCCCAGGGTCTGAGAAGACAATATGTCCTTCTGCAGGAAGGTGGGTTGTTTCCGTAGCACAGAAGATTCCTTGTGTCTCACTCTTGTGCGTTGAACAGAGGTGTGGGGCAGGGGGTCTCAGTTTCCCCATCGGCAAGTATTCCTTCAGAGTTTTCTGTTTGTTTTTCTTCACCCCTAAGACTTGTAAAAGAAAAATATCAACCATATTACATGTATCCGAAGGTCTTGATATTTGTAGTTTGATGTTTTGTAGGAATCGTTTGACTTGCCTTCCATTAACGTGATTCCCTTCATCTTGAGGACTGAGCAGCTTAGTGAAGGCGTGTACCTGTGTGTCTGTGTGTGCACGTGTGCGCTCCTGAGCTACACGGGTGAGAGTAAGATGAACCTTCGGTTTGTGACATTCTTTGGGATTTCTCAAGGTAGAGAGGTTGGGAAGTGGTAGATGTTACTACACGGTTTGTGCATCTTGGTGTAACTGTGTGTGAAGTTTGGACCCACCATATTCAGACCCTCATTTCGCTGGGAGTCTGAAGCTGTGGAATAAGGCACTTAATCCACAAGATGGTTGGATTTTAGTCTGCTCAGAGGAGCTTCTGAGAGAGCATTCTTTCTAATCCCCACCCATTATCTGACCTGTTCTAGCTCGTTTTTAAGAGCTGCACCCAGCCAGTCCCTAGCTCCCTGCAGAAGGTTTCCGCAGATCTTTTCCTGCTTGCTGAGCTCATTTGGACAGGGAGCCCACGCATCAGTGAATGGGATTCCTGTATAAATTTGCCCCGTTTGCAAAATTGGAATTGATTTGGAGCATCTCTGTGCCTTACGAAACCCAGAAGACATGAACATGGCTAGATGTGCTTTTTTTCCTTCCCTTTGAAGTTTAAAATGTGCTTAGCAAATCTGATGTTTGCAGTCTCTGTTCCCCACCTGATGTGCAAAAATACAAAGGTCCTTCCAGAAGCATGGGTCAGACTAACCTTTGTGCTGATGCTGCGAGCTGGATTGCAAGGATCTGGGCAGGTTTTGTTGTGAACTTGGCTCTAGTTAGCCTAGAAAATACTTGCAATGTAGGTTTAATGAATGTTGTGTTTTTAATGAGAAATAATTCGATCTGTGAATCAAACAGCCTCTGTGCCCCACCCCCTGCTGCTGCTGACAGCCTCTTCCCACACTTTTTCCTTGGTAGCATTGTTTGACTGTTCCAGCTCCAGTAGGTTTCAGTTACTGATCAGTGTAATTGCAATAACACACCAATAATAAAAGAGGAATTTAAGCTTCCTTTTCTTGTAGTTGAAGGCTCTTCTCCTGCGAAAGCTTGAAGTCTTAATAGCAGTCACACGAGCAACATCCCGCGCCTGTCAAGTGTTTGCAAAACTGGGCGGCTGTACTTTAGGAAGATAAAGGGCTGGATTTTGGGAACTTGGAAACAGCCCAATCCTATCAGGCGGCATCGGTACAGCTAATATTAGAATGGGAAACTCTAGGGACGGCTTAACATTTTAGTGGATGCCAAGGAAGCCTTGAATAGGAATGCATTGAAAGTTGCTTGTTGTATAACACGAGTTGCTGGAGTCAGAGTAATTTGAGTTGCCTTTAGTCTGGTGGAAAACTACAGCTGTGAGCAATGAGTTAATTTTTTCCGTGTGTGTGGCTTAGGTTTCCCAGTCGGGTTTGCTTTTAGTTTTGTAGGCTCTGAATCCATAGAGGAGTGACTGTGAACCAGTGGTTTGTCTTCATGTGCCATCGCAGGCTGCTGCTGGAACAGCTCTGCAGCTAGCGATGGGTTAAATGAAACACCTTAAAAATGCGAAGTGGTTATGGGCTGAGCTGTAGCAGCTCCTTCTGCTTTGTATACAAGAACGCCACAGGCTGCTCTTCCTGCCTGAACGTTTCCTACAGAAAAGAGGGGGGATGAAGGGGGGGGAATAATTAAAAAGACTAAAGAGCAGAGTATCCATCCCTAGTCTGGGAGGGCTGCTTGGTGGATGCAGCCCACCCCGCGCTGCCGGCCCTTGCCGGGGTGGCCGGGCTACCACCGCGCCGAGGCTGGGCGGAGGCAGAGCTGGGCCCGTCCC